GCTCAAACTTCTTTGAGCAGATGACATACATGGCCAACAAACCATAACGAAATTGAAGCCGCAAGTGGAGCTCCCTTGTAACCAAGAGCTGTCCAATGTACCAAACCATAAGCAATGCCGAAATGAATAACAAGGGGGACGAACGAGAAGACAAATGGCAGGACAACAAATTGTGCCTGAAGAAATCTCAAGACGTTTTGCAGGAATCCATATGCAAATAACCCCGGAATCAGAAATTTCATAAAAACAGCAGCAGACTTGGAAATTTGAGGATCTTGGTGGAGTAAAATAAGTATAGGTTCTGTGTAGAACCAGATTATAGATATGATGAAACAGAATAGGAAAGATATGATGCAAGAGGCTTGTAGATAGATCCCCAACATTTTATACAACTTTGCACCAAACCTTTGTCCACAAAGCGTCTCAAGAGCTCCACTTAACCCAACCTAAAACAAGAACAGACAAGAAAAGAATTAAACGCAAAGGTCTGCAATCATACTGAGTATATAAGGATCAGAGGGTAGAGAGAGAGAGAGAGTTACCATGAAAGCAAAGCCAGTAACAATGGCCCATGAATTGGCAAGGGTTGCACCAGCAAGCTCAAGCTTCCCAAGATGGCCAGCAAACATGACTGACACCAAAGTGATCAAATAGTAGAAAAGATTGGTAAAAATCATTGGCAATGAAAACAAGACCTGTTTCTTGGCCTCCTCCACGTCCAACACTTTCTTCCACCACCTTAGTTTGTTTGCTCCTTCTTCATCTCCCTGACCCTCTAATAAGGGTACCCAGGTAGTTTCATTTATCCTAGCTAAATCTGTGTTTGCTAACATTGCCATCTTCTTCTTCTCTAGTTTTCTTCTTCTTCGTCTTGTTTTCTTATAATTTTTTCTCTGGATGTCAAGAGGCTAAACTAGAAGGTACCATTCAAAAACTGGGATTTCCCACCGCCATTTAAAACTTAAATCTTTTTATATTTTTATTTTATTCTTTGGTTTTGCCCTTTTTGTTTTTCTGCTTTTATCACGTGGAAGATTAATATATACTGCACAAGAGATAAATCTACAGGTGTCAAACATAATGTATGGTCAGGATCATATTGTCAGAAATTAAATAGCAGGACTGGTACAAACATAAATCCGACCGACTCACAATCAATCAATTATAATTCGTGCTGCACTTTGGATTGGGGAAGAAATAATTTAGCCGCTACGGATAGTAGTAGCCAGCCACATGCAACAATTGTCTGAGAGAGAACCCAATACACACTTATGACACAGAGAGTCGTATTGTGATTGTCATCTCCATCAATACACTTACACACCAAGCTTTTGTCTTCTTCTTTCTTTTCTGTTTTTTTCTCTTTTTCTTTTTTCTGACAGTTCGAATGGAGGTGTTGAAATAAAGGATTTTGATTTGATAATAGAGTTAAATTTGATATATTAAAAAAATTAGAAAATAAATTAGATTTGCAAGAAGGTTACTGAGGCCTGGGGTTCAAACCTTGGGCAAATAATTTAATTCCATTTTCGTGCATTGCTCAAATGTTTTTAAGGAAATTGATTAATGATGGTGGTTGGAATGACTGGCAGACCACAGGTAAGATAGAGAAAGGCATCATATAATGCAGAAGAGGCCAATTTCAGAGGGATGGAGACTTTTCTTTTTTTGTCAAATAGAGAGATGGAGACTTAACTGCAAGGATATTACTTGCCCCTTATTGTAACTCATCTTTACTGCAAATTACAGTTTGACATATATACAAAAATAATTCATTAAAAATACAAAAATAAAAATTTATGTACACATGTCACACTACTGTTTACAAGAATGTAGGAGCTTCTACGTACATGATAAGGAGGGAATTATTTTCCTATTTGAAATCACGGTATGAAATGAGCCCTTTGAAAATTCATTTGTTTTCTTTATTTCTTCCTTATTCAAATCTTGGTATACATGAATTGTAGTAGTCGAAACAAATAGTTTAACCTTATAAGTCATCGAAATTTCTAAATTTGAAGTCACTCCATCCAAGTGGACCCGAAATGCCACATTAACGCACAACAACAAAAAAAGTACAAAGATTAAGAATGTGTGGAAATCCCCAGAGGAACTAGTCTAACAAGAGCCAAGAGAACATACTATATCCATCAACGTCTTCACACAAACTTCATGCCCAAAAAAGAAGTTTACACAAACTGTCTTCTGTTTGATGTTACGAACTTACCTTCAAAATTAATAATAATAGATGAGAACTCTCAAAGATTTTCACAAATTAATAAATTATTATTGATTAGGCGGTTTTGAAAGTAGTGCAACAATCCCCAAAGGCAGTCCATCCACATGTGTTTTTCAGTTTTGATTTTTGATTTTTTTTTATTTTCTGTAATTAATATCTGTTTCTTTTTCCATGCCTTCTATTTATTTTTGAAGACTTTATAGGAAATGATCCATAATGTACGTCGCAATAAGGCATGTTAATTCTCTAGGGTTGGCAACTTGGTATGGAAGTTAACATGGCCCTTTGTGTCAACTTTATATGGGCAAGATCTAAGCTCTCTCTGAATATATGTTTATATTTAAATAAATAATTATAATATTTATATTTAACCCTAAGTTAACATTCCTCTCCTAATTCTTCCTAATTTTCTCTGGAATTTCATGTTGATGTGATCTTGAAATGTTGAGTTGAACTTTATAGTTAATTTGAATGTGTTGAATGATAATTTAATATGAAACTTAATGTTAAAATGTATAATAAATATTTTTTATGCAAAAAAAATTGGGAATTTGGGCGGGTATGGGATAGTCCCCCGACGGGAACGGGTACGGGGACGGGGATTCCCCGAAACCTATTAAAATGGGATGGGTTCGGGGATGGGGGCGGGGATAGAGAGCGGAGATGAGGATAGTATTGTCATACCCGGTCCTTACCCGCCGTTGCTATCCCGACTTTTTCTTCAAAGATTTGGCCCATCCTTGAAAGTTTTTTGGGTCAAAAGGAAATTTCATTACTAAAGAAATATTATAAAAGGATAGTTACATAAAGTGAGCTCAAAATAATTAGGTTAGGTTAGAGAGACGTAGGAGGCACATAGTAATTCTTTTAGATAAAGTAAGCTCAAAGAAATACATGATCCAGTTCCTCCATCCACGCAAAATGAGCCCAATATGCCTAAAATCCGTACAATTAGGTCGGGTTCGGGGATGGGGACGCCAATACCATTCCCATACTCATCGGGGATTTTTCAAGTTCGGGAATTCCCGTACCCGATACCCATTTGGCCCCGAAATCTCCCCCGTTAGGGTCGGGGACCAAACGAGGACCCGCCCCACGGGGGTTTTTGTCATCCCTAAGAAAAAGGCATTTTCATAAGAAACGAAGCAAAACTTTAATATTCCTAGTGAGGTATGTCCCGACTTATATTTTTTTTTAGGAAACGAACTATCGTGAACATAAAATACTAGTCTTGATCCAACATTATTGGTATTTCTAATTTGATCACTTAAGAGCAATAAGCCACGCTTGATGGCTTGGACTGTGCGCTATTTTAGTTAAATTGAACAAAAGTCATGTCACACGTTTGGTGAACTTATAAATGCTGAAATTGAACCCTTTTTTTTTGGGGGGGGGGGGTGTTGAGAAATTATGGGATTGCATTGATAATTCAGCCTAGACACAAGCCTTACAATAATAGGGCAATCTAACATCAAAATTAAGATACTCTGGGGCTCCTCCACTAAAGATTATGCAAGATCGAAGAAACTCTGGCATAGGCATCCCAACTAAGAGTGCAAACTCATAACAACCAAAAATAGATAAAGCTTGAAAAAACCAAGCCATAACAATACAAATAAAACTCCCACAAAAGAGAGGTGGAAAGCTCTCAGAAATGAGAGGTGAAAACCCTCATAAAAGGAGAGGTGAAAACTACACAGAAAACTCAAACAGTCTCTACAACTTATTCCAAACATGAAGAAATCGCAAAAAGGATGGTGGTAGAGATCCAACACTAAAACGAAGGTGGA